TTTTTTAATTTGCATTGCAGACAGTATGGCAGGAGGACAAGCAAAGAAAGGAAACGGAGAGAAAAAAAGAGAAAGGGAAAGAAAGGAAGATGTCAGTACAACCAATGGAAAAATGACAGAATGAGGGGTGCCATTAATGAATACCAGGAGACAGTTGAGAGAGGGCAGACAGTTAATGGTAGCTTTTTAGCAAGGGCTTGGAACATTCTAAAGACCATTTTGCCTTTGAAGGGAATGCGGCAAAAGGTCTAACTGGCCTGACTAGGTGCAATGTTAAGACCTACAGTAGCTACAGGAAATTAAAGTGTTTTTGTGTTTTGTTTTTTTCTAATCTTTAACTAAATGTTTGACAAATATATGTACACACAAAAGACACCAATGCACAGAAACACACACCTACAACATCAGTTCATTTTTAATTGCATTGTTTAATGAGATATCCGTTCAACTTTCTATCTAATGAAATACATTTATGGTGTTGTTGCTATGGCACACTAAAGGCAATAGTGTCAATTTACTGTTAAAAAAAATGATTTCAGACGAAATTACCTGTGTTGTTCTCTTTTTATATTGGCCCATTTTACCTGAATGTTGTGCCGTGGCTCAAGAAGGTACCTGCTCATACTCTAACTCTCATAATTTTAAAACAATTTTAAATTTGAAGTCATTTACCAAAATGTGGCCCATTTTAGCTGAGTTCGCCTACACCATCAATGTCACCACCGCAAACCTGCAGCAATTTCCTGTGCTTCCTGGGCACTGTGTGAGAAGAGACGACAACTCTGACCACTATCTCCATCTCAGCACTGCCAGCTTCAGCATTCAGAAGAGCACAAATGTACAACATGACTAAGGCCCAATATGGCCTAATATACAAGAACTATTTTCCATTTTAGTTATTGATGGCTGGTTACTACATTGCTAAATCATTAACATGCATACATCACAGCTCCTCTTATCAGCTTTGTGGTGAGACACATTCTGAGTCATTGTCAGACGAGAGCAAAAGGCTGCAGCTGTATGCGGCCCTGCATGTGATGCTTTGAATATCATTTGACTATTTAAATCTAGAGTGTAAATATTAGGGTTGGTGGTTGAGACTGAGAACTGGTCATTTGCTGCATTTGGCACCTCTGAAAAACACACTTACTGAAAGATTGCATTCTGCACACACTGATTACAAACTAGAAGTAGTTTCTAAACAGATTACTAATGATTCACAAGGGAAGAAACTCATCCATGTGCACTGCTCATTGATGAATAGCATGCTTTCTTCTGAGTACTTAAAACTCGGGTTTACACTAAAACCCTGTTAAACACTAAAGCAGATTAGAGCTGATGCTTTATCCTTTACTCATGGCAAGAAAAGGTCCTTAGACCAACCTTGAATAGCAGCCATGCATTCTTTGTTTTAGGAACAATGTCACATGTTAAACTTATGCATTGCAACTCATCCTTAAAAGTACAACATGAGCAATCTTCTATACAAATGCACAGTTAACAGGGAACGTTCTCGGAACATTCTGGCAAGGTTCTCTCAAAGTTATGAACAAACATTATTCCAGGAATGTTAATAGAAAGTTAATTCAAAGTTATCTGTTCTTAAATAACGTTTAAGACCAAAAATGTTACTTAATGTTACCCAACCGCTGGGTCAAAACAACCCAATAGCTGGGTTTGTCCCTTTTTAACCCAGCGCTGGGTTATATTTAACCTAGCATTTTTTAGAGTATACATATTTTTTTTTTAAACACTTAAAAAACTGACAGATATAACACTGATCATCACTTCTAGTCTGTTAAGTCTCAAAGGGCAAGAATCATATGGGACGTGTACATAAACCCAACGGTGGCTGTTTTGTGTCTCGACATCAGATATGGAAAATATGCAGGTCTCTTTAGTAACAGCCAAATCTCTCCTGCCCTGACTAGAGTATGGAGAGCACAGTCACCACGACAACACTGAAAAACACCCCAAAATACACCATACGTCACGTTTGATCTGTTTAATTTGATCAGTGTAATGAGTGCATAGTCTGAACTGAGACAAAGATGTGCTACAAGTTTAAAATGCAATAAATTGAAGAAGTGCATCAAATGATTTCTATCATTCTAGACTCAGACTAACATCCATAAAATGATCTAGCTGTAGCACTAATTACATAGACAGGAAAATGATCAAATTCATCACCAGCTCATTCCTCCAATTATACAAAATGTTCTTCCTCAAAGTCAGAGGGACGAAACAGCACATTTGAGCAGCTGCCGAGAGTCTTTACATCAACAAGTGAGTGCATGCATGAAGGAAAAATATTTCAGTGACTTTTATGAATTATAGAAAGCTGTTTATTCCTCTCACAGGACAAAATCTGTATTTTTTTTTTTCTAAAAAGTTGCTAAAATCAGAATTTTAAGGGCTGATGTTAAAGGAATAGTTTACCCAAAAATGAAAATTTGCTAAAAATGTGCCCTCAGGCTAATGAAGATGTAGAGTTTGTTTCTTCATGGGAACAGATTTGGAGAAATGTAGCATTACATCATTTGTTTACCAATGGATCCTCTGCAGTGAATGGGTGCCGTCAGAATGAGAGTCCAAACAGCTGATAAAAACATCACAATAATCCACATGTAATCCACACCACTCCAGTCCATCAGTTAACATCCAGAGAAGTGAAACTGCGTATTTCCGGCTAAAATATGAGTCCTCTATCCATAATAATGCTTTCTCCAGTGAAAGTCATCTCATCTGAATCAGGAGAGAAATATGCACAGATCAAGCACCGTTTAAAAGTGAAAACAGTCCAAAACAGTTCTAAACAAATATGTGGGTGGATTTTGATGAGAGGACAACAGGGGATGGACTTTTTCACTGGAGGAAACATTATTATGGATGATGTATTATTGGCCAGAAGCCAATGTTTTAAAGTTAAAACACCTTAATGATGGATTTGTTTATCACAGATATGCTGGAGTAGTGTGGATTATTGTGATGTTTTAATCAGCTGTTTGGACGCTCATTCTGACGGCACCCATTCACTGCAGAGGATCCATTGCTGAGCAAGTGATGCAATGCTACATTTCTCAAAATCTGTTCTGATGAAGAAACAAACTCATCTACATCTTGAATGTACCGAGTGTGAGTAAATGTTCAGCAAATTTTCATATTTAGATGACCTATCACTTTAAAGATGTATTATTCTAAGCTTTGGCAGTTTCGCTTAGACACATCTTTTAGAAAAGGAATAATCTTTCACAAAGAGCAAAAGGTATACAGATAAATTCAGTCATATAGTCAACAATGAGTCTTTTGAGGGATCACAACAGTTCACAGGATCACAGGAATTCACAGTGCATGGTGCTCATATGTTTGATAAAGTTGGACCGTTTTGAAAGTCCTAGTATTTTGAGACAACGTCTTTTATAAATGCTCAGCTTTAGCTGCCATAAGTAATTGATCTCAATTACAAATCTGTGTTTTCTTTATTCCACAAACTCTGCATCTCAAGGCCTTGTTTTTACAGAAGATGAACTGAGATACGCCTGAACTTATTTCCGTATGGATGTAATACTTCTAAAGAGTTTTGATTTCAGAAGTCCAGCTGCCTAGAAGCGTGAATGAAGGCACTCAGTTGCTGTTGTCCCGGTTAAAGCTAAAGGAATTACTCCGTAAAGAGTCAAAGTTTATCTCACAATCAGTTTTGCTACAATTTGTGCAGAGTGGCTCATTATCAGGGCAAATTGGATGCTTGAATGCTGCTGTCTCGACATGCAAAATCCTGACGCATGCAGTTACAAGGGGAGATCGTCCTCATAAATCCCATCATGCAGTAGAACTATCAACCAGACGCCCAATATTCAATAACCATCAGAGCCCAGCAGTGTTATTTGTGTTAGTAATTTGTGAAATCCTGCTGTGTGTGTGCAATGGCAGCTCATAAGGTTTATCTTGAACACATAGGTTTAAAAGCACATTAACACTGCTAATGCAGCTACCCTTATTTCTCTGAGGAAATATTTCTCTGAGGGTGCAATGCTGGTACAAGTATCCCCCTGAGAACCAGCAATTTATGTTTTTTTTTTTTATGTTTATACCTCTGAGAACATGTGTGTCTGTCCTTGTGTGCACTTCCTGGGCTTTTCAGTCACACCAAATGTTTGGGGGTTTTCATGTGACTTCATAAAATAAAAACATTCAAATAAATTTGGGGAGAACAGGACAAGTTGTCACACATGAAACTTGTCAAAGTCACATCTGAGTAACTACAGTTTCGAAAGTCTATCTATCTATCTATCTATCTATCTATCTATCCATCCAAAAAATTTCCTTTGAAACCATTTTTGCTCAGAAATTGGTAGTAAATTTAACAAATAAGTGCAAAGAAACAGCAAGTAACACATTGAAATAAATAGGAAATTTGAAAGTTGCAAGACTGAAATTGAATTTTCTTAAAAAATTAGTTTTACTGTGTGTGTGTATGTATACATATATATATAGTAAAATATCATTGTTTTTAAAAATTCTGTCCTCCAAGCAAAAAAAGTCAGTATTATATATATATATATATATATATTTTTTTTTTTTTATTGTCACATTTTTTATCAGGGCATGCTGTCACATGTGTATTAAATGTTGTTTAAAATTTTACAGAATTAATGTTATAATTAATTTTGATTATAAATTCATATGAATTAATATAAAAATTATAAATTATAAAATAATATAAAATATTATTATATAAAGTATATACCACTATAATATAACGGTATTATTAATTATTATAAAATGACTAATATACTTTATATAAATACTATATATTCTACTAATTTACTACTATTGGCTACAACAATGATATTTGTCTATATGTTAACTTACACATTTTTATGGTTTCATGCTTTTTTGTGCTTCACAATTTTTAGTATTTAAATTTAGCACAAAAGCTATTAAACAGCCTATGATATCCTAACTGAAGTCAGGTTCCCATTGTGACAACTTACCCCATATAATGTGACAACATGCCCCACTTATAGTGTTTAATTAAAGGACAGTATTTTTTTCTGGGTTCTACCGGCATATGTCGATACAGAAATTGACTTTCAAAAATAAACCTGGAGTGACAACTAGCCCTGACCTCCCCTTTTTAAAAAGATTCTTAATTCTTTCTCAAGCATCAAACATTCAAATGCCTTTCTGCTGGTCCCAGGAGGATATATTAGGAAAAGCCCACGTGCAATTTATCCTTCTCCAGCTTCCTTTTTGGCAGCATGCGTCCATTGGCACCAGCGTTTGGCATTTCCTCGTTATTCCTATCACTGCACACAACCCTCAGCAGAATATTCGACAAGACGTCTTGATACAGACTCAGACAGACCCATCCTGGAAGATACAGCAACGTCACCAGTCCCATTAAATTGAGAGGGTAGTGGGAATAGTCCCAGGAACAGGCGTCATAGTGTCTCAGAGCGAAGCCCCAGCTGAACTCCCACGTGTAAATGAAGCAGATGTAGATGGGAAGCCGCTGCAAAGTTCCCCATCCTCTCCTGAAGTGCAGATGGAGGTAGAGCTTCTCCACCACGAAGCTGCAGCTTCCATACATGAGGAAGGACCACAGGGACGTGTGGCCCCTCAAGGTCCGGTCTGCTTTCTCAAACAAGTTGAACACAGAGGTGAAGAGCACCTCGTCCAGAAAGCCATGCATCCCGAAGAACACGAAGCGCAGGACGCCGGGTAACCCGTTTGGGCAGGATGACCTCAATAACACCCGCTTGTCCTGATACTGCAGACGCAGGAAGACTTTATGAAAGACATTCGTGAAGTACAAAGCGAGGATGTAATGCACAACGAGCTGCGTGATGGAAACCACTCTGATATTCTCCGTGCAGGTCACCACATTCCCTATTAAGATCTGCAGGCAGATGTACAAGGACGGATAGAAGACGAGGTGGAAAACGACAGGTCGCTCTTGGAAGCATCTTTTTTGCAGGTAGATCTTCTCCAAAAGCAGATGCGTGATGGAGTGCACGATGCACAAGTACGGAGAGGAGAATCCCAGCAGTCTGAAGTCGTTGTCATCCAGGAACCGGCGGCCGGAGGACAGCAGGATGTCCAGCGTGACTCCGTGCATCCCGTAGAAATACATGCGCATCCACTGCGGTAAAGCGCTCGCGTCGCGCGCTCGCAGGCTCTCCGCTCGTCTCGTCGTCATCATCATGTCTGTCCTCAAACGCACTCAGATGTCGATGCGTCTTTGTCTGACGGTCATTTTACGCCCCCACGAAGGCCAAAATCTCACTAACCGCATTTGTACTTGCACGGTCATTCGAAGGAGCGAAATGGGAAGAAAAGAAAAGACAGACACATAATAAAACCCACCACAAGATGGCGCTGTCCTATTCATCCAAACCTATACAAAGTACAACGTCTCAAAAGTTCTTACGCCATTATACACATCAACACAATGATATTATATTATATTATATTATATTATATTAAATGTTTTATAAATACATTTTATTTATATATTAAAATTAAAATCATTTTATTTTATTGTTATATAGTATTTAATGTTTTTTTTATATATTTTAGATTTTATATATTACATTTAATTAAGATTTTTGTGTTATTTTATAAAATAGCATACTATTATATCATATTAGATACTATTATATATTACTATTATATTATATATTAGTAAAATATACTATTTTATATATGTATATGTGTGTGTGTGTGTGACATTACATTTTTTATTTTATTGCTGTATGTATATTATTTTAGATTTTTTATATTTAATTATATTAATTTTTACGTTTTCTTTTATAAAAATACTATATTACATAAATATATGTTATTCTTTATAAATACTATATTACATACATATATTAACACTTTTATATTTATACTGATTATATATCGTTATATACGTTATCTTTATTATATATATTAATTATTTTATTGCTTTATATTATTTTAGATTTTTTTCTACTATTTGATATTAGGCCTATTATTAATACTTTTAAAATATGTATTTTATTTTTATTTTATAAAAGTACTATAGATGATATAAATATATTATATATTTATACTTTATGAATACGTTGGGCCCTATTTTAACGATCTAAGCGCATGGGCGCAGGTGCACTTTAGGGCGTGTCCTAGTTTAAAAACGGAAAAAATGGTCGGCAATGGTTCAAAAGGGTCATAGGTGTGTTTTGGGCGTAGCGTGCAAACCAATCAGTCTCATCTCCCATTCCCTTTAAAAGCAAGCTGCGCTTGCACCATGGCGGAATCTGCAAGTGCAAAGACTGAACTCTTCTCCAGAGAGGAAACGGACCTACGGGGCACAATAATAATCTTTTACATTGCAATCCTTTTATTTCTAATATTTGGCATGTTTGTGTGCTGCTGCGCGTCCCTGTGTAATAAGCAGAGTGTGCACCCGTCTACAAGCGCATGTTAACCTACTAACACGCCATCTAAATAATAATATAAAAAAATACTGCGCCATTGACTTTAGATCAGGTTTTATTTTATTATAGAATCTTGGGAGACGTTTGCTGCGCGTTCTAAACAATAGAGAATCTTGACTAAACATCGTTAGTAGCCTAAAATTCCTTATCTATTGATAATGATTGTTTCATTTGCGAACATATTAGCCTTCCGAGGAAGGCTATAAGACCAAGCGGAATCCTCTGCCGGCTGCTGGCTCCCGCTTCACAGCGTTTTGATTTCGGCAAATCAGTTTGGGCGAATGCAAACAACGTGATTATTGATCATGAGCAGTGAGCACATCATCCAGTTAGGCAAGAAAACATGCAATCTACCTGAGGGAAGAAGTCTTTCACTATTGTAAGTTAATGTTAAATAGAGACAAAAAAAATACACATTTTTAAAATTGTAACTTCTAGCGTATTATTGAAGCACAAATTCAAGCACCAAAAGCAGCCCACGCTCTCTAAGTTCTCTTTAATTAAACAATGAATTTTCATTCCTTCATAGGCTGTATGGTTACAGGTAGGTATTATTATACTCAGTCCCGGCGCCATGGGCGGGCATTGGGGGGCCTGGCCCGCCCTGTGAGTCACTAGTGCCTGCCCTGGACGAGCCTGCTGTCTCCCTTCACCTGTTCACCAGCTCCACATCCCACCAACCACCAGTCCTTGCTTGTTTGCACAATATATATTTTGTATCAATAGGCTACTGTTATCAAAAGTTATCGTTTTGTATATATATAACTCCTGAATAAAAATAAAAATGTGTTTGGTCTGATTTAAAAAAAAAAAATGTTTTAAACGTATTTGATTGGTTTGTCGATAGTGAGCGCGGAAATGTTTGGTTGTTTGCTAAGCATAGCGCTACCGATGAATGGGTCATTGAATCTTTGACTCAACCGATTCGATCAAAACGCTGAATCATTCAGTAATGAAAACACGGTTGAGTGTTTTTGTGATCTTTGTTTTAACTATTTTCGCTGCTGAAACAACAAAAACAGTCAATATTGCATCTAAAATGTAAGTGACTTAATATTAATTACTTGTTTAGTGAACTGTCATATGAAATCAGTGTCACATTTTCAATCGTGATGGTATTCAGCACTCTTGGTCGTGTGATGTTGCTTAACTGTATCATGTTATAAAAACTCCACATTTTTAATTTTTACCGCAGTATGTTAACTGAGTTTAACTCACTTTGTTAACACTGTTTACTCACTTTGTGTTTGCTGCGCTCATTTGTTTCGATTTCTCCTCGAGAGAGGCAGCGCAGCCTTGTTAGCGTCATTACATGACGCACTATCGATCGCCATTTAGACTAAATGATGCAGAATCATTATCGCGTTTTGGTGATTGTTATTGGCGTTTTAATCATATAGGCTACTTGTCCGGTCGGGCAAGTAAAATTCTCTTTCACGTGGCCTTTTAAAAAATCCACTTGTCCCGGATAAGCGGACAAGAGTTGATGTCGAGCCCTGCGACGTGTGTTTAGACTGCTTCAGTAGGCTAGGTCCAATCTTTACGACTCTGTTGTATTGCGTCAATGGAGTGGTACGTCAATTCTTCCTCGTTTTTTGTCAATTTAATTCATAATTAATGATATTATGCATTGCAATGAGGTTGATCTCATTTGTGCCCCCCTGAAAAAATGAAATGCCCGTCCGTGAATTTGTGTCGGGAAAGTTACTTTTAAAAGTAATGCATTACAATATTGCGTTACTCCATAAAAAAGTAACTAATTACGGTACTTAGTTACTTTTTATGGAAAGTAATGCGTTACGTTACTTTCGCGTTACTCTTTAAATATGAGCAGGGCTTGATTGCTTTTAATATAAGAAGTTCTGTTTACAGCAAATTTAAAAGCCCTTTTACACCAAAAAGTGTAATGAATGAACCTTCATTGCACATTCACATTTAGTCTATAACTACAGTAACATCATGTTCACACAGAGCACACAACTCCTCTGCACTTCCGATTTCTCCCAGTATGGGGACAGGAGACTTGTCAGTCAATAAATGGGAAAGAAAAAGTAACTCAGATATTTTCTTGTAAATTAAAAAGTAATGCGTTACTTTACTAGTTACTTGAAAAAAGTAATCTGATTATGTAACTCGCGTTACTTGTAATGCGTTACCCCCAACACTGGTTATGACCAGTGTTGGGGAAAGTTACTTTTAAAAGTAATGCATTACAATATCGCATTACTCCCTAAAAAAGTAACTAATTGCGTTGCTTTTTATGGAAAGTAATGCATTACGTTACTTTTGAATTAGTTTTTCTCATCTGGGTTGGGCTTGCTTGTTTGTTTTTAATATAGAAAAGTTATATTTTTTGGAAAATGTAAAAGTCCTTTCACACCAAAAGTGAAAAGAATAAGCATAATAAGATATAATAATAATAATAATAATACGACTATCTATCTATCTATCTATCTATCTATCTATCTATCTATCACTAGTCCTCACAATGAAAGCTACCCTTGGGTTTCCATCTTATGAACTGGACTAATTTCTCTCTCTGGGACTATAGACATTAGTCAACTTAAAACTTAATTCCTTCATCATTCCACAAGGGACACATTCCTCAGGGCTAAAACCGTCTTTGTTATTCAACACACAATTTAGAAAAAGTGTTAGAATGATTTTACGTACAAAACACTTATTAAGAGTTGTTTTAGTGTCCATAGGCAGTATTTTTGTAATTATGAGGCACTGTGAGGAATCCGGAGAAACCATATATTGTCCCAATCGTGTGTTTGTTGTTAATCTGTCAAAAGGTTTCTGCTTTTTATTCAGATTAGTTACAGCGATAGCTAGTTACCTTTGGTCATATTAGGGATTTCCTGGGTCCTCCGCAGCTCCAGGACAATATTATACTGAATCACTTGTTATACTCTTCATTTGCTTTGAAAAAAAGTGTCTGGAAATTAAAAGGCCATCATTCTGCACTGCCAATGAACCAACTATAAAAAGTTTATATAAATATTTTGGAAGAAAAGAACAAATTACTTACAATATGGCAACAGTTCTGAGTGATTTTCATTTCACATGTTTTACTGTGCAACATAATAAAGGCAAAAAATGTAATGTTTTTTTTGTTTTTGTTTTTAATCTTTAATTCCTACATTTTAACAATAGCTGCAGCAACACTGCAATTCTTCAAAGCGGCCACTAGATAGAAGCAAAGTGAGATTTTAACTCGAGCCACAGCTCATTCTGTCCTTAGGAAAGAAAACATAATTGTATGTGAATGGCAAATTATTAGCAAGCTGGTACATGACAGGGTCTTTCAGAGCATCACAGCAATGCTGAAAGCAATAAATCGCTTTAATTGATCCCAGCATATGGACACAGCATTTCAGAGTAGCAACACCTGACTTGAACATGTTAATATAGGCTATTATCAGAGATTTGTTTGGCTTTTCCTATGGACATGCCGGGTGTTTGGATAGTGTGTTCACTTACGCTATAATCACTTTAAAATAAGGCATTTGTATTGATTTATGTGAGTTTGTCTCGATTCAAATTCACAGTTTTAAATCCCATTAATAGACATTAGTCAGGGAAGTGCCATATTTATTTTTTGACAGCAATGAAAACGAGGCTGTGAGGAATAGATGTAAATGCTTTCAAATGATTGTAGTGTTTTTTTTGTTTTTTTTTTTAATTGAGAACATTATGTCAACAAATATGGTAGCAGTTACAATACAAAAATATAAAATAATACAAAAATAATAATAATGAAAAAATAAAATAAAAATACGAGACAGGCGTATATAATTAAACAAAACACATCATATTCAAAGGAAAAGATTGAACAAC